TGTTTTGTTTTGTTTTGTTTTCTGTTTGTTTGAAACCGCATATCAACTCTTTTGGAATCAGGAAGTTTTACGGTATTATTGTTCTTTTTACTGCATACTGAATATAGTCTAGTGTGTGTACAGTAGCAACTCATATCATTGGGTGGCAAATAATAACAGTCATAGCAACACAGTGTTCAGGTTATTTAAACGTACATGCTTTAGACAATGTATCCAAGATATTCTATTTCATAATAATCGTTTCGTTTACATTCGTAGTGCTTTTCAGTATTCGGCGCTCTGGATGCAGCGTTTTTTTTAGAAATAGCTATTACAATTGTAATATTAAAATATGCATTCCTTATTCGATATTGACTGGCGTTTTACGTGCTCACAAACGTGGCATATCATTACCATAACAAGTATGCATAAAAAATCGTTCATACAAAGAAATTTTAATTTCAAAACAGGTATTGTATCTGAGGTATTACTGACTCTATACCATTAAAAAGGAGACTAAAGTGATGCCAGAATTTCGAGTTACCGATCTAATTGCTACAAAAAGAGATGGCGAAGCACTTACTAGAGATCAGATCTGTTTTTTCGCTTCACGAGTCGCTACGGGAGAAATATCAGAGTCTCAAATTGGAGCGATRTTAATGGCGATATACCTCAAAGGAATGAATACTGAAGAAACTGTACATCTTACCGATGCTATGGTGAAGTCTGGAGAGACATTGTCGTGGCCTGAAGAATGGGGAAACTGTATTGGTGATAAACATTCTACTGGAGGTGTAGGAGATAAAGTAAGCCTTCCTCTTGCTCCAGCTTTAGCCGCTTGTGAAGTAAAAGTTCCTATGATTTCGGGCCGTGGATTGGGTCACACAGGTAAAGAAACTACGATTTTATCATTATGATTTTTATGTTTATTAATGTATTTAACTTTATTGAATGAAAAACAACCCAGGTTATAATTTTTTTTGCGTTATTTTAAAATAAAATATTATGATAACCGATTTCATTTCATTTCATTAACCATAATACTATATATACACGTGCAAATTCAATTAGAATGTTTGTACATTATAGTTGTATATTCGTTGTACATARRTGTGAAAATAAAAGAATTCAAGTTAACTATATGAATCAAAGATGCAACTAAGCACTTTCGATTTCTTTTTGGAAAAAGGTGTAGACATAATAAACAAAATGATTTAGCCTCAACTTAACCCTGCCCACCGCCCGCCTTCGCTTAATTGTAACGCAATACGGCTGTACGTACGGCCTATTATTGTTGACATTATAGTATTGTCACGGCAAAATCAACACGAGAATAATCCCTTAAATGTACATTGATTGTCGCAATTCGTTTATTCGCGATTCTTTATCTCTTAAGGCCAATATGTATACAATATATTTAACAATTGTGAATATCGGGGAATGTTTATCGAGACGCGAGTCTTCGAGCGGCGAGGTAAATATTCTCCGATATCACTGAGGCTGAGGCAAATAATTGTTTTAGTATAAATACACAGGTGATTCTTTCAAAAATAGAAAAAAAAAGAAGATAAAAGACATTTTTTCCCGGTAACAGCAACAAAGCGGCTGGCCGCCATTTTGGATTATCGCTGGAGGTGATTATCGTGCGGATAGCTTAAGTTTCTCGACCAATCATCGCGCGAGATTTTCAATAATCACCTGTGTATTTTTACTAAATATACTAATATATGAGGCCAGCAAAGTTTGTAGTTTCATGTCATGTTTAAATTTTCAGCACCAACCGTTAAAAAAATTGCAAATATACAAATGATAGAAAATAATAACACACAGATTTTTCATACTCCAAGGTGGAACACTAGACAAGCTGGAATCAATTCCAGGTTTTAAAGTCAGTCTTACCCCAGAAGAAATGAAAGATGTCTTAGAAAAAGTAGGCTGTTGCATTGTGGGACAGAACGAGTCCCTAGCACCAGCTGATGGAGTATTGTATGCTGTTCGTGACGTGACGGGCACGGTGGCTTCAGTCCCTCTTATTGCGAGTTCAATTATATCAAAGAAAGTTGCAGGTAAGTTTTGTATTAATCCTAAGAACAAACAAGTTTTCTAAGTCACGCAACAAAAGATGGAGCTTTATGAAATAAGTCTCAGAAAAGGGGAATGTACTGTGTTTGGCACATGGCACATTGAAGCTTACTCAAGGATCAAGTTGGAATTTAGTGAGTTTGGTTTTGAGTTTTTAGGGAGGAAAATTAATATTTGGAAAACTGAGAGAAAAAACCCTCAAAACAAGTGAGAGACTTGACAAACTTTTCTCAGACTCAGTAAATCAAAGTAATTACTTACTAAAGGTATTGGAGTAAAAGGCTGACTTTTTTCATGACATGGGATAATTGATATTTTTTTCAATCGAAATCCAGAATCTCTGACATCTTTGGTGCTTGATGTCAAGTGTGGACGTGCTGCCTTTGCTGAAACGAAGAAAAGTGCAAGATTTTTGGCAGAAACTTTAGTAAACACTTGTGAAGGAATGGGTACAAGATGTACGGCACTGGTAACCAGTATGGACCACCCTATTGGAAAGACTGTGGGGAACTCTGTTGAAGTGGCTGAGGCTATACAGTGTCTTCATGGGCAAGGCCCTGATGATCTGGAAGAACTGGTCTGTCTTTTAGGTAAATAGATAGGTAACCTCTGGGCTGATCTATGTCAGGGCACAGCTAACTCACAGATAGAACCCTATAAAACAACCTTTGGGCTGATCTAAGTCAGGGCACAGCTAACTTACAGATAGAACCCTGATACAACCTTTGGGCTGATCTAAGTCACAGACTTAATTGGAATTGTGTGTGCTGCAGTGGGCATTGAGGGGTGGGGTGGGGTGGGAAGATAAAAATCATCCTTGGACATCGGAGGGTTAAGAGTTGGATACAGGAGTTAAATACAAGGGAAGACATGCAACATTTTGGAAACTTGTTTGATTAATTTTTTTTGATAAAATGATAGGAGGTCATCTTCTAAAATCCCTTGAAAAAGTTGATTCTGCTGAAGAAGGAATGGAATTCATCAAATTAACTCTCAGTAATGGAATGGCCATCAAAAAATTCTCAGAAATGTTGGTAGCACAAGGAGTTAGTCAAGAAATTGCCGATGCACTGTGCAACCCTGAGACCAACCCTTACGAGTATATCCCTCTCGCAACCAAGTCATATGAGGTTAAAGCACAGAAGTCAGGCATTATCAAGGATATTGATGCCTTAGAATGTGCATCCCTGTGTGGTAGTTTGGGTGCAGGACGGCAGAAGAGCACTGATACCATAGATCATGGCGTAGGAATGGTATTGAATGTCAGAGTAGGAGAATACATCAAGGAAGGTGAAACATGGGTTGTGATATGTCATAGAGGTAACCTCTCAGTTGAAGATGTCGAAGCATTACAAAATTCTATTGTCATAGAGGAGAGTGATAGTGAAGAGAGTTTGCCTGTTCAATCCAGACTTATTGAGGTGATAAGTGCTTCCCAAGATTAACTATTTTTATTTGTTAAGGGACTTCATTATTTAATCCCCCTTGAAATCAGTAACTTTTGCTGTTGACAACATATTAATGGTCCCCCTAATTGTTGGAGGAGTTAGTTTGGGATTTACCAATTAATTTTTAAAAATGTGAAAATGGGGCCATGAATATTTAAGCAAATTAAAAATAGAGTAGACTTGATAAAAAACGGTTCAAAAACAAGTTTATCTATCTCATCTACCCCACTTTCCTATGAATGATGAATGGTCCCTAATCTAAATTATACATTTTCTGGAAAATAGGCTACCCATATTTGTTGGGTGTACCATATATCGTGGTAACTGAGTTAGTCCCTAATCTAAATTATAAATTTCCAAAAGAAGATGCTGATAGGCCGAGTCTAATTTGGCAGTCAGAGGAATTTGTTGAATTTAAGTATTTCCAAATTGGACAGACATGTAGTCCTATTGCAGATTAATATTAATCCCAAACTATACTATGAATGCCGCTAGAATGCCAATGGAAAGGATCCAAATTCTCCAGTTTGGACAGGGAAGAGAATTTGAAAATAGCACAATAGTTGCTTATATGGGATTGTAGAGTGATGATATAATTAATAATATTAGAATAACTTGTCTAACATATAGTAATACTGTAAGTGAAGTTGTGGTTGTGTGTTAAGTAAAGATAAAAGTGCTTTTTGTAGTACGTATGTTTGCCTTTGTACTGAAAGCAAACATTAAATTAAAAACAGGGAAAAATAGCAAACTTTGGCTCTATTACAGAATTCCTAAGATAAATGATTATATTGTTAGTGATATAATGTTCTGATTAAATGTTATTGTAATCTTGAGAAACAGTCATAGGAACAGTGTTCACAGGGCTGTCAACTCTCCCGGATAAACCGGGAGTCTCCAGATTTTGGACCGTATCTCCCGGTCTCCAGATTAGAGTCTCAAATCTCACGGATAATCCCCGAAGCTGACCATTTCTTGTAAGACTCGACTTTCACAATAAAATTCCAATTATTTTGTGTTGTTTGTGTTATTTTAAATCGCTAACAAAATCAAAACGTTCCTCAAAAAGTGTTCTTGCAAGCAGGCCATTGTAATATAAGCAATAATCTGATTGGTCAAAAATAAACCAATCACATCAAATGTTACAAAGCGAAAGACGTCTTTTCGCGTGTTTTTTGAAGCGCTGTGACGTCATGTCCCTTCCCTATCAATTCTCCAGATTTGAATATCTCGGGGGTTGACAGCCCTGTGTTCAGGTTAAACGTACATGATTTTAGGCAATGTATCCAAGATACACTCACATTGTAGAATCGTTGTCGGGTTCAGAAACATAGAACAAAGGAGCTTAGACCGAAATGGCACATGGGAAGTACGTTAATTAGATGCATGCTGTGACCGGCGACCCGTGGCATCATCCACTGTTTTTAATACGCGTTTGGCATTCTAAACCGACTGCATGGATGGCGCAAATAAATAAATTATAAAACTAGTCGTTGCAATATGCAAGTGGAATGCTGCGAGTGCCATACAATGATGTAAAGGATGTATACCAATGTTAATAAGATATAAGTTACATACAACAAAATATCCAAAATCGTCTAGATATAAGTAACAAGGACGGACATAGGACTTTACTTATGTGTGTGCTCCTGCATACTTATATGAATACTCCTGTAGATGTTTTGAGGTATTAAGGTGTAACAGGGTCCCCTATACCCCCTCGCAAAATGCATTCACGTAAAATTATTTGGCCAATTTCCGCCTCACGTAAAATTCTGAAATCGCATCCCCATTCACGCAAAAATCGAAGTGAACACGTTTCACGTAAAATTAATTTTTCGTATCACGGAAAATACCCTGGAAAATACCAAAATCTTTTTTACATTCTAAGTTCATGGAAAAACGTTTCACGCATTATAATAAAAGATTTATCTAGGAATATCAAGTATAAATTAATATGGAATTATTTTAAATAAAGGTTCAAATGCTAGAGCGAGGTTTTGCGGCCCTCGGTCTTGAATTCTAATGCAAAACCGAGCCCGTGCGTTTGAACTGGTTTAAAATATCAACTAAGCCCTAAATTCCATTGTTTCGATGCAAAACACGAAATACTACATTACATTGAATTCAGAGAGGTAGATTACTGTTGCTTTGTTCTTTTGGAAATAGAGTGCTTACAATATATCCGTGTAATTAAAAATCTATCCCGGGTTTATAATTCAGCCCCGTTCTCCCCTGTTGATATCAATTCCGCCCCTAGACTCTCGCTCGTCCGTTCCGTCTCCACGCTTAGAGACTGTAACGGTACAATGACCGAAAGGACTTTTGGGTCCCGAAAACTTGGACCAAGCGTGCTTTGGGAACCAAAATACTCGTCCACAGTCTCTCTCGTTTTCGCCACCATCTTAAAAATATTGATTGATTGTAATGCTCCTACCCGAGCGAGTTGTTTTCGGAAGGTCAAGTGGCTGGTGTCTCAATAAAATCAATACGACAATAAAAACAACACCGAAACAGCGACTCGTACTCATTAGACCGATGCCGCCAATTACGCTACTTCAGGTAATTGACCAATCTGACTTTATTCTTCACTGGACTCTGAAGATGCCGGGGAAGATGACTTCCGCTCAGGTTGTCGAAACGTCAGTCACATCAAACAGTCCTTCTCAGGACTACATCCACCCGGATGATCATATTACTTCGATTAACATTCATTCACCTGGGTTCAGACCGTTCTATACAATATGTATTCTATTTCTTAAGAATGGTTTTGTTTACATGCGTCGTGTTATTCAGTATTCAGCGTACAGGATGCGGCTTTCAACGTTTTTTAGGAATAGCAATTACAATTGTAATATCAATGATATGCATTCCTTATTATGCAATCCACTGCGCGTGGTTCGATATTCGCCGGTGTAGGTGCTTACAAACGTGGCATACTCATTACCATAACAAGTATGCATAAAAAATCGTTCATACAAAGAAATTTTAATTTCAAAACAGGTCTTGTATCTGAGGTATTACTCGCTCTACATCATTTTAAAGGAGACTATAAGGCCCCGTCCACCTATGCCGGATAAATTTGAATCCGCAATTTTCACACCGAAGCCGAAAAAAAAGTTTTCCGTCCACACATGAAAACGGATAAAATGTTTCGCGTGCACACAAGTCCGATCAGAGGCGGCAAAAACGCTTCAATGCACATCTGAGCATTTGCATCGAAGCTGAAATTGAGCCTGCGGTGAATTTTTAGCCTTCCCGCCATGTTCCCATAACAATCATGACGTCATCGTATTCGAAAAATTTCGGGTACGGAATTGTCTACGTCCACACTAAGGCCCCGTTTACACGAAGCCGGATATTTTTTTATCCGGGTAAAAAATGTGCGTTTACATGCGGCTTCGTGTAAACGCTCATCGTTTTCGCATCGTTTTCGACCGTTTACATGAAAACGCTCCATCGACTCGAAAACGCTCATAGGAGCTAGATAAGCATGCGCATAGTTGCTGAGCCTGCGATCTCCTTTGTTTAGTGACGTCAGCGTTTACGAAAATATCCGGCTTCGAGCTCGGCTTTGAGTGACACTAGAGAAAAAGGTTTGCGCATGCTTGCACTTCAGCACGTTTCCTAAGAATTTTGAAGAGTAAATGTTTGTTTTCTCCAAGTATACAAAAAAGTTCAAGAGCACACTTTTGTTAGACCAAGATACTGTATTAACAAACACAATATGAAAGAATTAGCTTTAAGTTTCAAGCATGGACAGTAAGTTTTGGCATTTTGTGAAGTCCAATTTATCAGGCATGTTTGAAAGTCAAATTTACTTATGTTTTGAATAATTTAATTGCATACGGTTTCAGAGCATGCGCATTGTTGCTTGGAGTGTTTACACGGAAACGCATAGCCAGCGTTTTCAAAAATATCCGCTTTGAAAAGCGTTTTCGAATATAGCCGGCTAAAAGACCGTGTCCGTGTAAACGGTAGGCCTAAACGGATAAAAAATATGCGTTTACAAAAATATTCGTGTAAACGGGGCCTATTACGGCTAGCCGGCGTTTTCATTCTAGACCGTATTCGAAAAAAATCGTTTTCGGTGAAGAATTGTTCCGGATTCGCCCAGACTAGTGTGGACCGAATGAATAAAAATTCGGATTCAAATTTATCCGGCATAGTGTGGACGGGGCCTAAAGTGATGCCAGAATTTCGAGTAACCGATCTTATTGCTACAAAAAGAGATGGCGAAGCACTTACTAGAGATCAGATCTGTTTTTTCGCTTCACGAGTCGCTACGGGAGAAATATCAGAGTCTCAAATTGGAGCGATGTTAATGGCGATATACCTCAAAGGAATGAATACTGAAGAAACTGTACATCTTACCGATGCTATGGTGAAGTCTGGAGAGACATTGTCGTGGCCTGAAGAATGGGGAAACTGTATTGGTGATAAACATTCTACTGGAGGTGTAGGAGATAAAGTAAGCCTTCCTCTTGCTCCAGCTTTAGCCGCTTGTGAAGTAAAAGTTCCTATGATTTCGGGCCGTGGATTGGGTCACACAGGTAAAGAAACTACGATTTTATCATTATGATTTTTATGTTTATTAATGTATTTAACTTTATTGAATGAAAAACAACCCA